CCTGTCCCTCCCCCCCCCTCCTCTTCCCCTCGTTTCAAAAGCCGAAACGTTTCCTCGTTTCACCATAGTTTTCTTTCGAGAAATCTTCCTTGAAAATGACATTCCTCCGTTCTTGGATATTCCTCATATCTTTGCATTCTGCGATTTTAAATCGTCGCGACATGCAATTTAAATTTAAACTAGGATCTTTTGTGAAAAAAGAAAAGACGAGCCTCTACACGGTTGAGAACGGTTTATCGATGATTGTACCCGGTTTACAGCGGCCACTGTAACAGCCTCGGTATATTTGCATACGTATTTACGAGTGTGAACTCCCCATTTCATAGGGGGAGAATCGAGCCCGCTAAGGAATCTCAAACACACGGCCAACATGTATCCATCATTCGAGCAACAAATAATTGTTGTTATTATAACATTCTCTTACGATTATTTCCATCTTTTCAAAGGCTATTAAAATTCTTTTAAACGAATGAATTCGTTCGATAATTACTTTGCCATATTTATTTATTTTATTTTCCAATCGGTGCTACTAAAAAGAAAAAAAGAGAGAAAAATTTTAAATTTCGATTCCTCTCTCTCTCTCTCTCTCCACTAGTTTGTTCTAAAGACAACGAACGAACCATCTTTTACGAAATATAAACTGAACAAATATTTGCGAAAAAAGAATTAACAATTTTCAACGAATGAAAATTGTACAACAACTTGGAATTATTAAATATAAATATTTTCGCTTTTTAAAAATTCTCGCTCGTTAAGTAGCCAGCCTCTGCCATTAGCAGTTAATTTCGTGACGAGAGAAAGAGAAATAAAAATTCAATCATGCGAGCCTCCTCGAGTCGAGTGGATCCTTGTTCGAGTGGAATTTTTCGAGCAACAGATAAGAGGCGTTTAACGCTCTTATCCCCGTGTCGTGGGGGACACGGTTCCAGTGAAACGAGCATTAAAACGACGTGACACACCCGGCAAGCAAGAGCGACTCCTCGTGTGGGTCCTGGTCGATGGGAACTGGTTTCGAATTTATTCGGTGATGGCGACCAGAAGTGGGTGGGATTTCGACTTCTTTTCTGCCTCTTATCCCGTAGGAGTGGCGAACTACTTTATCCGCTGGAATTTCTGTGTCGACCAATATCTGTTTCTCGTCTCTTTTCTTCGTTATTTCCTTTTTTTTTCCCTTCCTTTTCGAAGGGGGAGGAGGAGGAGGAGGAGGAGGAGAAGTTCAAAAGTGGCGGCAGGCAGGAAGACGCACACATGGCCTTGGTAATTCCCTCTTCTCACGGACGATTTACTTTGAAATATTTATACCTTTTTATGATGAAATATATCATCATAAGGGGGAGATGCAAGATATGCATTTGAAAAATATTTCCTTACTTACTCTTAACTTAACCGTGGTATAATACCAGGAACGATAAAAAATAACGCTTGCAACATAATTTTCAAACTTTGTGTTCGTGAAACACAAGTTCTCCTCGTCCTTAATGACGTCGTCCCTCGAGAGTCGATAAAAACCACACTACCTTTTTTTACAAAAGGAAAAGCTCGAATGATTGAACTGAAAAATTTCTTCAAAATTCACAAGTAAAGAGATTTTAAACAACAAAATGAAGAAGAAGAAGAAGAAGAAGCAAGATGGACGAGAACGTTAAAAAGCCAGTTCAAAAACGAATCCAAAAAAAAAAAGAGGTGAGAGAGCAGTAAAACGACCAAGGAGATCCCGCGAGCAGATAATTGTGTAAGTGGATCCCGCGTGGCGAACCCCTCCAGGCCTCCGCTCCTCCTCTCGACTATTGAACCAGGAATTATTCGTGGAAGATCAGATAAGATAACTCGACGAACACGATCTCGATCCGAAACGACTGTCCATAAAATTTTCACACGAGAAAATTCTTTCGTTATAAAATAGCGAAGCCAAGATCGAAATAAATTATATTCTTTCTTCTTCTCGACCTGAATTAAAAGAAAAGAAAAATAAATAATATATATATATTATTTTCAAACACAGATAGTTGGATCATCGAAATCGTAGACACGAAAATAGGCGAGAATACCTAATCCTGATCGTCGCCTCGTCTCGAAACGTCGGTGCACGTGCAAGGCAGGCAGGCAGGCAGGCAGGCATAGTGAGCAGAGTATAGCGTAGGCAATATGTAGGATGCAGCGGTAGCATTTATGGGCATCGCCAGCGTGAATATTTATGCGGGGGCCATTATCGTCTACATAATAGCGGGTATGGCGAATATGGATAAGCGTGGACCTCGAGATAAAGGGTGCAGGGCCGTAACGTTGAACGATTCAATGTGGTTTTTTTTTTTCTCCGATCATACAGCAGAGAGAAAAAATTCTTTCGCCTTCTTCGTCCAGCTAAAAAAAAAAGTTAGAAATACGGAAGGATAGAGTAAACCAACTGTGTGAAAAGTGAGAAAACTTTGATCTTTTTGAAAAAAAAGTTTTTTTTGATCGATTCGATTCGATCTCGAAAAAAAGAGGAAAGAAATCACCTTTGCAAGAATTAAACGATCTCGATCGACAATGTTCTGACGATGATAAACAAGGGAAATTTCTCTGTTGGTCGTCGAGAGAATCGAAATTTTGGTGGTTCCATTTGGTGTTCCTCGGTCGCCATTTTCTCGAGAGCGGTTCCTATCCGGTTCCTCCGGCCACAGAACCGAGGAGGAATCGGCGCTCGCTTTGAAAATTTAATCCCTTCTACGGTGCTGAAAACGCCCATAGAGGCCGCTGGTTGGAGAGAGAGAACACCGGTGCACCGCGGTTGGTATCTGGTCCCGAGGAGATATGAAACGCCCATGGTGTTTCATGGTGAGCGGCGCGTAAGGCCAAGATCCTAAATCACATTTGACTGTGGTAATAGGATTGCTCAGGAAAGCCTGAAACCCCTCCAGAGGAATGAAATCCATCTGATAGTAAATCTACCTCTCCCCTCGGCTCACCTTCTTCTTCTTCTTCTTCTTCTTTTTAACCTCTTCAACGGATTCTTACGCGCATTCCTCGCTTGTGGAATGTCGGATGACCAAGTCCAAGTCCACGGCGTCCCTTTCGAGATTGGAACGCATTTTTTGAATAACCGACGTTTTAATCCTTCTGTTGTTGCAGGACCTGTCGTTGTGATCTTTATTTTTTATGGTATAATTGCTCCTTTTAATAACAATCTTCACTCAGATTGAGTTTTGGCGATTATTAGTTTTTATGTATGTTTTCCTTGTTTATTAATGTAAAAAGGTATTATGGAATTTTTGTTTGAGATAATTGTGAAAATGAAAATATGAAATGATCTGGATATCTCTTGAAGGTTGATCCTCTCAATGGTAATTGAATATCTATTTCTGTATTTCCTTTATCCTCTCATCCTTATACGAGTTATAAAAGTTCTAAAAGAAGAATATAAATGTGAAGAATATAAAGAATTATTAAAGTCGAATATAAAAATTATCTATATAAGAAAACCTTCCTATTTTTAAGTTTTATCGTTTCGTTATGTTTTCAATATTTTACTCGTTAATTATTCGTTAAAATTTTCGAAACAAAGTCATCTTCGATTCGAAGACAAAGAGAAAAGTGAAATCTTCGAGTTCTTTGAGGATCCTTTTTTTCCCAACTCGTGAAATCCTTTTACACCGACAGGAAGTGAAAACAGGATGGAATGTAGGCCAGCAGGTCGGTTTTTTCCTTGACGAAATAACAAACGATACCAAGCAAGATGTTTCTTCGAGGATCGGCCCTTTGACAAAGAAGAAAAAAATTAGGGAAAATTCGAAACGAAACTAAAGCAATATGCTGTGAAAGAAAACATTTCCGTCTTCTTGAAAGACTCCCTTTCCTAAGAAAACTGATGCACACGCTAACTAAACAAGTGTAACATAATTTGTCATAAATCTAACATATTTCTTTCTAAATGAAATCCGCCATGTTGTGAAGAAAACTTGAAATTTTAACATTTTCTTGTTGGAAAGCAACAAGAAAATGTGGAATTTTAAAAAATAAGAATTTGATTAGATTAAAATGAAATTGAAGATCACCTATTGGATCCATAATTCATATTCGCGTGTTCGTAACGATAAGAAAAGTGTTAAAAATTTTATTATTTATACAAAAAAAAAAAATTAAACGAGATACGAGTAATGAAGAAAGTGAAATTTTAACCCCCCGAGGAAAGGCAGACAACAAGAATAGAGAATACTATTCACGTATAGCGATAAGAAAACAAGAACAAGAAAAATCTGAAGGAAACAAAGAAGACATTCACCTCATGTGTCGGATATGTTGGTTCGCGCGACCCATAGCGTCTCGTTTCACGTGTTAATAAATAGCCGGGTTATTACCGGCAAGCTAATTCCTCAGTCACTCTCTTCATTTAACGAAGCCAATTATGAGAGACATAAATGTAAGCACTTAATAGTTGTATACACAATCGCACGCGCGTGCAAAATTCCGCTTTTGAACAAGAGGAGCATCGTTTTGATCTACTTCCGTCACGGTACTTCGTTATTTCCATGTAAAAGTAGTTACATAATTTCCTGCCATTAAATTACATTTCTTGATATTCACAAAAAAATTCAAGAAGATAGTACCTGGTATAATAAAAAATAATATTCTTAATTTTTGTTTACCATTACATAATTTAATTTAATTAAATTTGTTAAATTCGTTAAAACTATTATTACTACGTAACAACTGATTCGATACGATCCAAAATGTAAAATTTTCTTTGCATTTGCAAATTTTTCTTACTTACTTTATTACTTTATTACTCGTTATATTATTTGTAATAAAGCGAAACATAATATACTACTATTCGATAAATATCGCGTAAAATAATTGTAGAAGATTCTTACGTAAAAATTTTTAGGTTATCATGTAATTTTGCAAGATTTTTACATAAAAATCTTTGATTTGTCTAAATCAAGATACGAGATTATCTACATGTCACATATGAAATATCACTTTCAATTCTAATTCTATAATAAAATAATGTTAAAACTCACAAAAAGGACGCAAGATGCCAACTCTCAAAGAAGATTTCTCCAAACGTCGGGAAGAGAATTGACGCCATAGCGAGTGGATCGTCCCGGCAGATTCAAAATGATCCAATATTGTTTGCGTATCATTCATTCGACACTCCCGAGCACGACTGAAACCACAGCCAAGCGTGATGGTTCACAGTTAAGCAAGTGCTCCGCTTAATTGCCACCATGATACTTTTATTGTACGTTAATTCCGTGATTGTCGTTACGAAATCAATTTGCCACGATACTTGAGGCCTCGTAAAGTTATTTAACGTGTATTATAAAAACAAGCGTGCTCACGTGGTCTCCCTATTGCGACGCGGCCGTTCTCTTCGTTGATTTCCAACCCCGACGTCGTAAACCTCCACACGTATTGACTTGTTTCGTTCTTCTCCACGATTTCAAGTGTGTTTCGATGGATAATGGCTGCGTATAATCCGATGTATTTTCGTTGCGGAACGAACTTCGTTTTTGGAAGCCGTTGTGATATTAACAGAGAGAAAATAATTATTGCTTATTAATGAACACTGCATGAATGACTTTTCAAATCTTTTGAATCAAGAATAATAATTTTAACAACACAGCAAACGCATTATGAAAAATAATGAAAAATAACTCTCGAAAATTTATTCTCGAATATATATTCATATTCACAAGCGTCCCCTATATAATAAAACTTGTCTCGAAATATATCTCGCGGTTAATGATTCGTCGACCAAACTGAGACGAATCTCATGACGTAACAAACATATGCATACATATTATACTACTATATACGTGTACGTACTTACTTTATAATATTATAAAAAAAAAAAGAAAGAAAAAAAAGAGGTTACGAATAATTTCGAATGAATCCCAATCCCAATTATATATAGCGAGAGTCATGTCTCATCATTTATAGGTCGTATTTTAAAAAATCAATTGGATAATAAATTTCCAATCGTTTAACTATCGGATGTTCGCACACAATGTTTCTAACTATTGCATTTATTATTAATGAACAAAGTCTATTCGATAATCCATGCAAGAAGAAGGAAGGATACGTTATGACATTTATATGGTCACAATAATACACTGACAATAACAACAGGTGTCGCGATTAGTCACATTTCACACATAACTAAGTATATCTAACAATATCCTACTCTGTACATAGATTTAGAATATTTCGAAACTTACAAAAATCTCAACATGAGTGTTCAATTCATAGAAATTGAATAAAATCTATGGACAAAGGTATAATGGGCAAAGGAAAAAAAAAAAAAAAAGGTTAAGGAAAAAAATACCTCGATAATCCATCGCAAACAACTAGCGTATTCGATACGAAGCATCCACTGCTTAAGACATCACTTCACCCAGCACACCGAGAGGCATTCATTTGCCTTTTTTCAAAGATCACGCGATGGAACGGTGAAACGCAATGCAGTTACACGTATTGCCCGCGAGGAACTGATCATTTGCAACGGCTACGAATCGTTCGTGGTCCGAGGGCCGTCGCCGGTTATTTGTACGACGAATTAACACGGGCCGCAAACAAACACGCGGTACAGCTTTAAAAGCACCGTCGCCAGTACCTTTCGGTCAAGCCTTAGCTGCTTGCCTTGCTGCCTTTTTTTCCATACACTCGACTTCCCGGAGTGAAAACAACGCTCGTGAAATTCGTCGAACGAGGAAAAGCAAACATTCTGACCATTCTGTGACTTGGAATGTGACGTTTCGTTACACGGAACATTGGTAAATATCTTGTACACACTATGAGACATTTAGTCATTTATACCTTGAAAAATGATTCTTTTTATCTTTCATTTAGTGAAAATTAATTGGTTATATCGTATAATTTTATTTGTATCGATTAATGTAAATTGATTAGTTAAATATTTTTCATTGTATGTATCGATATAAGGTTAGAATAGAACACAGTAATAATATATATTGATAATCGTTAATTTTAAAATTCTTCGAGGAAATATAAGTAAGATGTAAGTAAGATCTTATTTGATAGATAATAAAATTCGAAAATAAAATATAATAAATATTATATTATGTCCGTACGTTGAATCGTAATTAAATATTTGAAACGAACTGTTATAACTGACTACTTTCAAATATCTTCGAAAGATTCTGAAGGATTCTATAGTGGATAACGTAGGTAACAGACTTGTCAGACTTATATGCCTGCCCTCTTACAACAATTTTTTGAACCTTTTTCTCCGTTATGTGATATAGACAGTTGGTAATACAGATTTCTAATTATTTCATATTTCATATTTCATCCATCAAGTATGATGATAAATTCATGATAAATCCATGATATGATATATTTTTGTATATAAATTAAAGTACAATATTTTAAAAATATTTTAGTTAAATAATGCATCACGAACTAACAATATTTTTAAATTGATTTATTTTTAAATTTATTTATTATTTATCTTCTAAATTTCAAATAGAATAAATTAAGTATAGTATAATTACCTTTTTCTTTAATAATAAAAATAATAATAATTAATTTAATTTTTACCACTTACTAATCGGACAACAACAAAAATGAATGGACAGACACTCTTTACACTTGTTAAAATAATGTTAAATATTTTTAAAATTATGAAATTAGATTTAGATAAAAAAAATTAACAATTTAATATAAGAGATTACTACAAGTTTAGGCAATTTTTTTATAACAAAGTTATATTAAGTATTAAGCTCTCAGAACACATTGTTCAAGCTCATCCAAAGAAAAGCTGTAAAATTCGCCAAGGGTTGGCAGTTATTACCATCCATAAAATTTTACGAACTGAAAATATTAAACTCACTCGAATGTGTTCACGCAAACCCTTTGGCTTTTTTTCGACGCGTTAAAAAAATTGCTTGACATTTCCTGAAATTAAAGGAATATAAGTTAATTGCAATAATTCATATAATGCAACATAAATACAAAATAAATAAATATGAAATACATTAAATTTTTTTTAAACATAAAATAATTAGAAATAATATTTCATTACATGTATAAGATTCTTGTACATACAAGGCTCATAAAATAATACAAATAATATGAAGAAAAAAAAAATTAGAAATAACAATAACAGCTTTTTAACAAACAAAATGGAGAAAACCGCGATCACGATGTAAACTAATCTCCGTTAGTGTTGTGTTTACGATTTTCTTGTGGGTTTGTCGAATACACTGGGATACCACTAGATTTATGAAGCGATGATTGATGGCCGGCTCGACAACCATGTTCTTAGACGAGTGAAAGTAATTGCCTTGGCAACATCTCTAAACTTGATTACCGCAGTCGCGAGCCATTAAAGCGCGAAAAAAATTCAATGGCAGACGTACTTTAAATTTACAACGAATATAATTTGTATCAAAGTTGTAAAAGTTATTATATTTTATTATATTTGAAATTATTTTTCAAATTTTTTATCACACAAAATCCGTGGAAAAAATTGTAATGCATTATAAATTTTAAAGAAGCATAAAATGATGATGGAGGAAACAGAATTTTTTGTTGTTACAGTTAAAATTTTCTAAGAATAGAACATAATTTTAATGTTAAATATAATTAAAATTTATTTCAAGTGAAATATTCACCGTATGTGATTTATTAACATTAGTTTCATAAAATTACTATAGGATTACTATAAGCAAAATTAGAATTCTTGTTCTATTATTGGATAAGAAATTTCTATCGCTCTATAGTTTAATACATTCCTCATTAATTAATTTTTAAAAGAATTTTAATTTTTTATTACACGTATTACAATTTCATAAAGGAGATGAAAATTTACAATTATTTTGACACTTACGATTCCATTTATTTCTTTCGTTATTAAAATATCTTCTCCTTTTTTCTTTTTCCTTCTTTTCCTTTTTTAGAAATATTGTCTTAATAGAAGAATTATTATACCCACATATATCATTTCATGCCCATCATTTCATCTTATAAAACAAATCAAAAACATTTCTTTTCATACCTTTTACCTCCAATTTTTCACTCCAATCATAATACAAGAGAATAGAAACATATAAATATTTTATTCTATTATCTCAATCTTTCATCCATCCAAAAATAAGACAAGAGAAGGCGAATCAAAATTTGTTTTGTATTGAAAATGAATAATTGTTTTCAGACAGTTTTCGCGAGTTCGATGGATTTCGACTCTGAAAGAAGGAGAAATTTTACGATTGGTGTTTCGACAAGAACACAACGAACGTTAATTTTATCGGTCCTCGGTTGAACCAACTGACGATTCAGCAGCTGTTACCTCATCGGTAGCGTGCAACCCCGACGCTTTTAGGGGAGACATATTGGCGGACGTTACTGCTCGAGAAGAAGAGTGTTCTGCGATCGTTTCCAAGGGAACGAGGAGGATATTAACGCGTTGAAGGAGACCGTTATAAACTACTCCATCCTATCCTCCCCTCATTTTCATTTCGATCTCTCGGGGAATGGAAATGGCGAGCAAAAGGTGAGCAATCACCAATTCAGATGGCCAACCGAGTTATATTAATAAAAGAACTGAAAATGAATGATAATTGTATAAGAAAAATATGATTATGGCTTTATTTGATTTGGTAGTACCAGTACCAATTTACGAATCTATCTATTAAATCGTAAGTTTCAAATATCGAATTCGAATTTTTGAAACAGAAAATTTCTCAAGTTTCTGCACAGCTGCACACTCTTTTCTCGAATTTTTCAAACTAATGCCGCGTCATATGGGTGCAATAAAGGCATAACTCTCGGCGGTCCATTCATCCGAAATCCTTTCGTCGAACGAATTCCACGTCTTGATACTCTCTACCTACTTCTCTGCGTCTATATCTGAAAAAAAGAAAACTTTTAGCCACGGTTTCGTTTTATTACCTTTTTTAACCTTTTTTTTTTTTTTTCCAGCCTTCGTTTTCGCCTACGATTCTCTCCGCTACCAGTTCCCTTCGATTCCGTGGTTCAGTTCAGACGCATGTTGCGCAACATTTTATCCACGCTTGTCCTCGTGTTTCTGTAACAGACGAAACGGTGCGTGATTGAAGTGTCGATTATCGAGTGAAAAAAGATTATTTTCTAATAATATGAATAGTATGTGTTTGATTAACGAAACGTGAATAAACTATCGTCTCTTCGTTCCTTCGTTTTTCAATTTTTTCTTTCGAAATTATACGAAATCGAATATCATAGAAATGTTTGAAGGAAAATTTGTGGAACAAAAATTATTTAAAAATTTTTTCCTTCCCGAAGAGGGAGGAATTTCGCCATTTCGGGGTGGAATTATCGAATTTTCACGTGTCTCACGCTGCTGGACCAACATGGCTGCTCGCGTATCCATGGTTACACCCTCTGCCATTCGATATAACCCTTGATGAAACGCTCGCACTGGGAATACAAGGGGCGGTACGAAAAGAGGGTGAAACTATAGCGGAGGGTGTGCTCGAGATGACGAAGGAAAGCCTTTCATCTTTCAGCGTCGGCCATGAAAAAAAAAAAAAAGAAACTTATGTTTGTCGATTTATCGAGAGACGAGGCGAGCTGTGAAAAATAATTAATTTTTAACAAATTGGAATGGACAAAATTGAAGATTTTTTAAGCGATGAAAATTCGAGGATTGTTGATGTCGTTGAATTGACACGATTAGAATTTGATTCTACGTGTAAATTACGATTGTTCTCGAATTTTTGTGAATTAGTTTCTAATTGAGGTTGTAGAAATTGATTCATAAGAAGAAACGTGTAAAATGCGAAATAGATAAATGCTTGATAAGAGAAGAAAAGAAATGTTATTCGTTTGATGATTGTACTAAGGAGATGTATAGTTTCATATTTTTTTCTCCAATTACTTTTCTTTATTTCTTTTTGCTCGTTTTGTGCTATTGTTCCCCTTTGACATCGTTGAAAAACTAGAAAAGAAAAAAAAAATGACGTAAAAGCTTGATACCATTATCAGTGAATGACTGAAATATTGTTTTCTATACGATGCAATACCTTCTTTTGATAATAAATTACCATAAGAGCCATGAATGTATATAATATGTTGATTAAAGATAAGTTGGGTTAGTGTTTTGGTTGGTGTTGATCTCATAAAAATTATAAACGATTTTAAAATTTGTGCAAAAATTATTTAGCAAAATTCTTGACTTATGTAATGTTCTGCAAAAAGTTTAAAATAAAAATATATGAAATGAGAATTACAATGAAATTATCTTTATACTTCTCAAATTTTTCACATTTTTTTTTTTTTTCAACAATAAAATGTTTCCATGTTCATCCAAAATTCAATTAAATCGCTTTTACCAATTAATATATTAATTCGAAATATAGTTTTAACATACTTGAAATTTTTTTATCAATTATTGTAAAATTCTTGTGCATTTTCAATTCTTTTAATTCGTTATTTTTTCAGAATCTAATTAAAATGAAAAAAAATTTACCATTTCATATAGTGACAAATAGACTAATTACTTTATCTTTTAGATCAATAAATATTATCGTTAGAACTGTAATCTGAATTTATTCATCAAGTTTTTTATTTCTAATTGTCAATTTTTTTAATACATTAACAATTATAATTTTACGATTTCATGATATTATTCGTGAGAGAACATTTCAAGGATTACATACTCTTTTCTTAGTAATTTTTTTAAAGGTTAGAATAATTTTATTTATTTTATGAGAAATAATATTTTTTCGTATCTTTCTTCTGAACATTCTTCAATTTCTCGCAATATTGAAATTGATATAATTTGACCTGCAAAAGATATTAAATTTTTTAATCTTATAGAATCCATTTAAAATCAAACGACGAAAATTTAAAAAAAAAAGGTTATTCCAAGTTCAATAACGTGAAAAAAGGAATCATATAAAAGATTTTAAGCAATTATTGTAAAGAAGAGACTTTAATCTTATAAATATAATCTATAAATAAATATATTATAATACATAATATATTATTCAGTTAAATTAAAATTATTTAGCATCTTTATAGCTTGGAGTTTGAATTTTTCACATTTTTGGTGAAAAAATATCTTCACTTCTCTATTTTTTACATTACGTAAAAACATCTTTGAGAAAAACGAATCCAATCTGAAAATAAAAATTTACAATTAGTTCAAACTGATTATTGTACGATCTTTTTTTTTTTTTTTTACTAAAGTTACAATGGTAATTAAATATAACCTCACTTATGTTCATGAGACCCTTCGTCGTCTCATTCATGATATTTATTTGAATTTACAAACTCGATTTCTCTTTCCATCGTTTGATCATTTATTGCACTGTTATCCAAACAAATGAAGAAATACGTAATAAAATTCCTTCCACACTCAACAATCTATACTGCAAATGGATCACCAGCGCGAATAGGTATCATTCCGACAGATAAAGGAAGAGACGAGTTCCCCTGTAGGCAGAAATTTGCAATACAATTCAAGTTTATTGGACAATAAAGGAAAAACAGCAAACGGCGCGTTTTTCAAATGATAAAGGCTACCGGGTGACTAGATAAAAATCCTTCAAAGTGGTGTCGTAAAACGTGCTACGAACCCATCAACGAGTCATCAATAAATTGTGCTCTCTTTCTCGAGGAGAAGGCCTGTAAACACCAGTCTATCGTCGCGATGATAAAATTATGAATCGACGATCGGTGTCACGTAATACATGAATGAACAATACGAATTCGTTCTTGATATAAGATTCTTATTGCATAGGAATGAATAGAATAATAGAATAATAGTGAAAATAAAATTATTGTAATTCATAGATATTAATATAATTTAATTCAACTAAATTTAAAATATAATTCAATTGAATTAATAATATTAATTAATTAAATATTTCATGTATAATACTTAAAATTTTAAAATTACTATCTATTATTGTATATCATTATAATTTAAATAATTAAAAAATATTGAATAATTGTTCTTACAAATACGCCACAATTAACATCTATCTCAATATTTAATTTATAGTTATATAAAAGTAAAAATCTTATTAATATCTTCTTAACTTTTTAAAATTATTATCTATTATTACAATACAATTTAAACAATTGAAAATACCGAATAATTGTTCTCACGAATATAATATATTCATCTGCCATAAAAATTATAAATATACTCGATATTTTTTTTTTACAATAATTTTTTACAGAAAACAAAAATATTAATAAATTATCTGTTACTTATTATTGCAATAAAACTTGTATAATTCGTTATAAATATATACATAGACAATATTTACATAATTATTGAAACGAATCCATGAACTAAGAAGCTGATCGCACTTCTTGTCGAGAGAAGTTAGGTCGATTGGTCGATAGGTAATATAAAAGTTCTTATTAGGGCACACGTCGAGGAGAAGTTACGATACGATGACCAATGACGTGTATTTCTTAGGGGTTGCTACCGAGAACTAGATGGTTGATCGCAAATCGTAAACTTTCCGATAGACCAATGAGAATCATCCAACTGGGAGGCTACCCCTCGCTGTTTGAAGCTCTCTCGTTTCAGGCTGTAATGGCGAATATCTCACAGTTGATATGTTTGAACGACTTTCATCAGATGTTAAGTTGTCTTAAATTAATCTCGTAAAAAAAAAAAAAAAAAAAAAAAAAAATAAGTCACGAAAGAAGACAGATGAAAGAAAATTCGTTACATATAAATATAAAAAAATGTAACATTTTATTTCTAACGAAATAATTATTATTTTTAACGAAATAAGAATAGAAAATATAAAATACTAATTTATTTGTACGTATTGAAAATCTTGAAGAATAATTTGTATTGTTGAATTACACTATTTTTTATTTATAATATATGTATTTATAAAATATATAATTGAGAATCAAAAAAAAAAGATTAAAAATCTTAAATTTCTTCGATTAAATATAATTTTTTTTTTGTATCTTTATTTAAAGTATGTAGTTCAACTAATTATATAATATAGTTCAATATTTTTTAAAAATATGTAATTTGTATATATAATTTTATAATTAGAATTACAATTGTTTTTTAACTTTCATCCATTTCTTTTATCCAAATAAAAGTTATACATATACATATATTTTTATATTAGAAAAATAAAAGAAATATGTCTATATATCTATAAAATATATATATTAAATTACATCACCATACATTCACCATATTGAAATCAATTAATATATAAACGCGATTAATAATTCAAAATTAATGACTTTAAATAATCTTTAAATAAATAACTTTTAATAATCATTAGAATAAAAGAAAATTATTTTATTTGAATAATTAAATTATTTATTAATTGAAATTTATTATATAGATATATTAATTATATATATTGATTATTGTTAAAATAATAATTATATATGTATTGCTAGTGTTAATAATTTTTATTTATGTACAGCAATAATTCATCAAAGTATATAATATATCGATTGATCGTTAGTTCTCTCCTATCCATGATAGAGGTCGTTTCATTTGTAATAAAAGTTGATTCAAGATATTGTTTTAAATTAAAAAATGTTGTTATCAAGTAGTACGGCAATTTTAAAAAATATACGTTATTTAAATGCAAAGAAACAGAGTACAATAAATTTAAATCAAGTTCGTACATGGTAAATATTTTTATATATTATATAACTTTTTTTTAGAAAGAGGTTAGATTTATACAGTTAAAAAACTTTTTTGTAAAACTGTAGTTAAAAATTATATGTTAAATTTTTGTTCTCGTAAAAATACAAAAATATCCTTACATATATAAAAAATATTGTATAATTCATATGTAATGAATATAATACATTCAATAAAATGTATATTTCATTATGAAAAAAATATCTCCAAAATATGTCAACCTATTCTAATATTTATAAAAAGTAATTATATCAAATTATGAAATATTCTATTAGTTTTTGTTATCGCTCAACACCAAAACCTCAAACATCATGGATAATAATATCTGAACTTTTGGGTGGAATAATGTGGTGGTGGATTTTTTGGAATTTTTGGTATGATTACAAGCATATTATTGTAAGTACCACAACTATTGTTTATATTATATATTGTATATATATATATATATATATATCTTAGAAATTTATTTTAATAGTTTATATTTTTAAGAATATAATTTTGTTATTTCATATTTTATGATATATATTTTACATATAATTTTGTAATTTATATATTTTTATACATTCAGGGTCATTTTCCTGAACTATGTCCAGCAGATTGGACAGATGAAGAATTAGGAGTTCCACCAGATGATGTTTAAATAGATTTTCTTCTGTACAAAGTTTACAATCTGTAAATTTTAATATATATGTTAAAGATTTTACTGTATTTAATAATAAATATAAAACTACAATTAAAACTAATAGATTTATTAGTCAATTAGTAGTTTGTCCATATTATATCTTTTTCCAATAAACATATCTTTTGAATTATACAATGAAACATTTTTCTTTTTTATCCATTATTTTATTATTTTATTAACAATTTAATAAAATATAGTATATATATATATATTTGTACACGAAATTATAAAAATATATAATATAATAATTTTTTTAAAACAAATTTAACTTCATGCAAATATAGATTATAATTATATCTATATATATCTATTATATCTATATATCTTTTTTAATTAGTTGATATTTTAATAGATATTGTTTTAGTTTCAAGATATTCCTTTAATCCTTCTGCACCACTAAAATAGAAAGAGAAATTTGTATTAATTCTTTATAAATTTCTTTATTATATTACATAATAAATAAATAATAATAAACTTACAGTTCACGACCTATTCCTGATTGTTTAAATCCACCAAATGGAGTTTGAGGTGTAATACTATCATAACAATTTATCCTTCAAAATAATTTTTTTTATTATAAATTTTCTTAAGTTCTATATATATATAAGAAATATAAAATTTAAATTAAAATATTTACCAAACACTTCCAGCCTCCACTGCTTGTGCGAACGTCAAAGCTTTATCAATATTTTTAGTAAGAACTCCAGCAGCAAGGCCATAATTTGTATTGTTTGCACGTTCAATAACTTCATCCATTGTTTCAAATTTTAAAATAGATTGAACAGGTCCAAATATTTCTTCTTTTGCAATTCTCATAGTATCAGTCACATTTGAAAAAACAGTTGGCTTAAATTAAATTAAATTAAAATAATTATTTGAGAGAAACATTTAATTCATTTAAGTAATATAAAAAATATTGAGAAAATTATACCTTAATGAAATAACCAACATTGCCATGACGTTCTCCTCCAGTTTCCAATACAGCTCCTTCTTCCTTTCCTGATTTAATTAAATCTAAAACTTTATCAAACATTTTTTCATCAATTTGGGGTCCTTGTTGAGTCTCAGAATTAAAAGGATCACCGATTTTTCTTTGTGATGCTAATTGTTTAGCATAACTAACAAACTGATCATAGATTTTAGCATGTACAAAAGTGCGTGAACCAGCACAACAATTCTGTCCATGATTAGCAAATATTGCATTGAAAGCAATTTCAGCTGCTTCTTTAACTAGAAATTATATGTTCTTATTATATATATTATAGTTCCTTTATTACAAATTATATATATATTAATATTTTCATAAATGTTTTATTAACATACTATCAACATCATCAAAAATAACTAAAGGACTTTTGCCACCCAATTCAAGAGAAATGCGTTTAAGATTACTTTTAGCAGAAGCTGCCATTATTAAATGACCAACCTAATAAATAAGATGTTAATATAATTTTATATGAATAAATGTTGAATAAATCAATATCATAAATTATATACTTCTGAAGATCCTGTAAATGCAATCTTATTAATTTCTGGATGTTCAGCAATAGCAGCACCAGCTGTTGGACCATAACCAGTAATAACATTTATTACACCAGGTGGAAAACCAGCTTCTTTAGCAAGTGCTGCAGCATAAAGTGCACTTAAAGGAGTTTGCTCAGCTGGTTTCAAAATAATAGTACATCCAGTAGCTAAAGCTGGACCCCATTTCCATGCTAACATAAGAAAAGGATAATTCCAAGGAATAATTTGACCTACTACACCTACTGGTTCTTTGCGGGTAAGTGAAATAAGTTTTCCATCTAAATAACAAATATTATTTATAAGTATTATATGAAATATTAGCTAATTTTATTAAAAAATATTGAGCATACCTGCTGGAATAGTATCTCCAAAGATTTTATCACACCATGCAGCATAATAACGAATTGTTTGTATACTTATTTCTATATCAAAAAGTGCATCTGAATATGTTTTTCCATTATCTAAAGTTTCAAGAGTTGCAATATATTCCAAATCTCTTGCAATAAGATCTGCAAACTATATATGTACAAATATTATAATAATTAAATAAAAAAATATAAAGATGAATAATAAAAATTATATATTGATATACCTTATTCATAAGATTTCCACGAATAGATGCATCCATTGTTCGCCATTTTGATTTTCTATTAAATGCTTCTTTTGCAGCTGCAACTGCCTTATCTACATCTGCCTATATAAAGCAAAACAAATATTTCAAATAATAATCTCAATACAAAAAATTCTATAATGTAATATAAAATTTATAAAAATATAATATAATACCTTATCACCTTCAGAAACTTCTACAATAACAGTACCATTAGCTGGATTTATAGTAGAAAACTTTTTACCACTTACTGAATCCACAAATTTATTATTAATAAATAACTGAAAATATATAATATTGCAAAATAATATAATATAAATAGCTATATGTATAAATTATGTTATATATTATAATTTTTTAAACTTTTATTTTAGCCAAAGTTCATTTCAATATATTATATACATATAAAGAATTTACCTGAGTATATTTAATATCAATTTTGCGATTCATCTTCATTAATGTAATAGCTTTGTTAAATGAATAAACATATATGTATAACTATGTATCTAAAACTCTTGTATCTCTATATATCTGATAAGATAATACAAAATTTTATTACTTTGTTTATTACATTATTTACTATTTATTTTTTCAATTTTTCAATAATTTTCTAATGAAGAATTATATATCATATATTTTTATATAAATTAATTAAATTAAATATTTAAAAATAGGCATAAAAAATAAAAATAATTTTATTTTGTAACAAAAATTTATACTTATATTTATAATCCAAATCTTTATTTATTCTCCTTGTACTACACTTTTGAAGAATTAATAAAAAAGTTTAACGAATGAGGTTACACTAGGTATTTGAGATGCGATTTGAGAACAATACAATCATATTTTGATTTATCCCATATAGATATATTCAACTGTGAAAAATATTTTTAATATTTTTTCTTAATAATACAAAATTGAATAATTATTTAAATTAATAAACTTAAACTTCAAAGTATTTTTTAATAGAAATATTTATAAAAATCAATATCTATAATATAAATATAAAAAATATGTGCATTATAATTATATATATGTGTCTTCAATTATTTTTCAATTATATTGAAACCTTATATCATTTTTATTAAATCATTGGCGGTAGATATACAATTATTAAGAAAAAATATTTCGTTGTGGTGAATTATTAAATCAATAAATTTTGTTGATTCTCCTTGATTCTCGAAGCAAACAGCAATGTACTATGTTACAAAAAACCGTTCGTAATAAGAATCGAAATTTATTTTCATTCAATTTGAAAAATAAGAAGTATTATAGTTAGTATAATAAAATAAAAATTTTACTAAATTTAGTTTTCCGTGATAATATATGGAAAAAACATTTAATATGAATAATATGAATTATCATCAAAATGCTAATGGAGATAAGGAAATGGTAAATTTAAAATAACAATTTTTTTAACTTTTAACCATAACTTTGTACCATAAATATCTATAAATTTAGTTTCAAAAATTTATATTGAATTATTTTTCATAAATTTTTCTAATAAATTTACACAGCCTTGTCCACAATTGGATTATACCAAAGTTGACGAACCACTTTATTTTCCACAACCCGGAAATGAGCTTCCGGTACAACCTGAAGAACAAATGGAACCGATCGGTCCATGGGCAACAGGTCGTGTAACATACACTTCTCAAGATGGTTTAACAGGAATCAGACCAGTCGCTGATCGATATTCTATAACCATTTCTGGAGAAGCTCAGTGGAGAAGTAATAACTTGAATTTTTTAAACAATCGAATGAAAAGATTAATGAAGCTCTGTATGTAAATAAATTTCTATAATTTTCCAAGTTAAATATATAATAATAATTAAATCATTGTAATGTAGCCGTGCTATAAGCAACGCAAAAAGATGTGTCGAGCGATCTTACAAAGAAGCAGATAAAGTACAATTGGAATCAATAGAATATTTAAAAAATCGTGCAAATGAAGTACATCGTTGGAAAACCGAACTGGAACATTTAATACTTGAGATTACAAAAGAAATAGAATTATTACAATCTGAATATCGACATGTAAAACATTCTTTGTCACTCCTCACGGTTCCAGAATCTATAGCTGGTGAATTTTTAGAATTGCGATCTAGACGATTAGATTCTGATCTTATTCGAGATGACGTTGAAACGGAGCTTACAAAAGTTAATATCGCTTTGTTATTATTAATTAATATCATTGATTAATATCATTCATTATTATTATTATTATTAATTAATTATTAATTATAGGAAGTAGCGCTTTGCTCAGAGATACATGATTTGCTTGTTAGAACTCGAGAACACATAGAAATGCAACTAACCGAATTAAAGACTGCAAAAGCAAGGATGGAAATGGATTGGACTGATAAAATTGACAGTTATACCATTGATGCTGAAAACATAAAATTGACAAATGATTCTCATATCATAATGTGGAAGCTTGGAGCTACAAGAATTCCAGCAGAGTATATAATAAAAATTAATTTTTGAAATGATTTATACGATATATATAATATATACTAATAATAAATTTAAATTATATATTTTACAATTTGTATAAATTAATCGATTAATTGTCTTTCATTAGACAATCATCGCCTGCGGGTTATGAACATTATACGCGAGAAACCTTGTCCGAAGCAGAAGCGACCAGGCAAAGATCTGTGAATTTAAGATCCACTTTAGATTCCATATATAAAAATGCTATTAAAGATCTTCGAAATCAAGCTACTCGCGTAGATTTAGTTTTAAGTAAAAAGATTAAACTTACGGAGGATGTCCGTTTACAATTAGAGAAAGAATTACTTCGTGTAAGTTTAATTTTCTTAATATTCATAACTTATG